AATACTTTGCAGGGAACTATGCCTGGCCTCATGCAATAAAGTTAAAGCTGCATCAAACTTCCTCTCATCATTTTTTTTCTCTTACGAACATGGAACACTATAAACGACCTACTTTTTTTTTCTAGCAATTAAAAGAAAAAAAATTACTTTTCTTTATGGTATCTTTTTTTTACAACATACACATGTGCACAGACATGCATATACAGGAATGAAAAAATAAATAATCATTAAAAATGAACTTTTAAGTTAATTCCGGTTGGACTATTTTGGTATTGCGACAATTAACCTTCTTGAGCAGGACATCGGCTCTGAAGCTATATGCTTCAACGGCTCATTGGTTAATTTGTAACATCTTTTTTTGAGTAAGTTTTTTTGAACCACAATACCACGGCAGTAAATAACCTTCTTGAACAGTACATTGGCTCCAGATATTGAAAACCTGTAAGTAACATTTTATTCGAATAAAATTTACTTATAGGTTTTCTCTGTGCATCACTCATATGTCATTATATTACAATAATAATCAAATAGAATACTCTCGAGTTAATTATATTAAAAATTAGTTAAAATTATGATCACATCATTTAAGAAAACATTTATAAATATTACAGTTCAAGTAAATTCATATTTTCTTTTTAAAAAAAATTAAAAAATGATTGAGACGGTAGATAATAGAAACGAACTTATAAAATATTGCTTCGATATTTTGTGGAAAGCAACTGAAGAAAAAATAAATTCAGTTACTTTTAATAAAAATTCATTATTCACAGTTACCTTTAACTTGGTCGATAGGACTTTCAAAACATTAAATTTAGATGCGCCAAAGGTAGTCCTCATTACCAGAAAAAACTTCATAAAAATTTAAGAGTTATCGAACAGAATGAAAAAGAAGTTGCAATTGATGACGATGAGGTAATTACATTATCTTTTAAGTTTGTCATATATAGAAACTAACAAGGCAAAAAACTTATAAAGGAACCTAGTAATTCATCAACAAAAATAATCATTCAAGAAAGTGTACAAAATTCTAGCTTCGATGTTTAGGCAAATAGTACTTTTTTATCGATAAATAATCAAAACTCTAATGATTCTGGTGATCCCATATTCATACCTTCAAGCCCCAAAGAAAAAAAAGTATGCATTAAAACTTCAAAATTCATTTAATATCACTAATGCTTAAAATTCTTAGAACAGTCTTCTATTATATTTGAGATCACTAGATTTCATTT